GCCCCGCCCAGCGCGCCGGCAGCTTCCGCGCCCGCGCCCCGCGCCGCTACCGCTGCGCGCGCCCCGGCGGCCCCCACCGCTCCATCTCCTTGGCACGGCACAGCAGCCCCGGCGCCAGCTGCCCCTGCGCCCCCTTCGGCTGGCGCGTCTAACCCCAGCGGCGCCCACGCCCCGACGCTGCCGGCCAAGCGCAAGGCGCCCGGCCAGGGCGAGGTGGCCGCGGAGCGGCAGCAGCAGCCGCCCCCGCCTGCGCAGCAGCAGCAGCAGCAGCAGCAGCAGCAGCAGGGTGGGTCAGCACCTATGGACACAGCCGCCGACGCCGCCGGCCCAAGCACCTCTTCCCCAACCGCGCCGGCCCCTTCACCGCCCGCACCCGCGCCCGCGCCGGCCCAGCCGTCGATGCAGCCGCCACGCCGCGCGCCGCCGCCCGCGCGGCCGGCCAGCGCCGCGCGCCAGCAGCCGGGGCCAGACCTCGGACCGCTCCTCCAGGCGGTCGGCGGCCTGATCGGCGGCGGCACCGCCGCGGCCGGCGGCGGCCGTGCGGGTGCATCCGGCGGCAACGCGGGCGCCGGCGGCGCCGGCGGCGCGACCCGCGATTTAGGCGGCCTCCTGCAAATGGTCCTGGGTGGCGGTGGCGGCGGCGGCGGGAGCAGCAGCAACGGCGGCGGCGGCATGCCCGCGCTGCTGCAGGTGGCGGGGCAGATTGCGAGCGACCCGGCGATGCAGCCGATGATGAATGCAATGGCAGGCGCCATCTTTGGCGGCGGGAACGGCGGCGGTGGCGGCGGTGCGGGCGCGGGGGCGGGGTCGTTGGGGGCGCTGCTCGGTGGCCTGCTGGGCGGCGCCGCGCCAGGCGGCGGCGCTGCGGGGACTCCAGCGGCGGCCGGGGCAGGAGCGGGGCCGCCCGGGGGGGCGGGGGAGGGGATGGAGTGGGTAGAAGAGGAGCTGCCGCCCGGCGTGGCGGCGGAGTGGCGCCGCGTCATCGCCGCCGACGAGGCGGCGCAGGCGCGGGCGCGGGCCAGGGGCGGCGGCGGCGCCGACGGGCGGCTGTCGGACATCTATGCGGCGGGGGTGCCGCCGCAGCGGTCGCGGGTGGTGCCCTAGTGACTCTGCTCTGCCGTGCGCCTTCCTGGCAGCTTCCTGAGGTTTTAGGCGGGCCCTTCATCTGTTGTGCTGTGGCGATCTCTCACAAATGCCAGCGAGGCCATGGCCGCTGTAGCATGGGCCTGATTGGAGGCCCACTGTGATGTTGTGGATTGTACAAGAGTGTTCATGTATATAATCGTCCTGTTCATGGGCTTTGCAGGATTTGATCGTCCTTGTGTTGGGACAGTCTCACAGGACACTGCCGCTGAGGAAGCTGCCCCCCTCTACTGGCGTTCTTTCTCTCTATTTTATCACGTTGAACATCGACACCACCAGTGTAGCACCACTTCCCGTGCTGTCCGTCGAATGTAACAAGGCCCATGCCGGCAAGCCGCTTACCATCAGCAAGCTACGACCCATGCCTAGATGCAAGCGTCAATGCACACATGCAGTGCGCGCGCGGTCGCGCTCGTGCATCGTCCCACTGTGGGCTGCAGGGCAGCGTGCGCGTCTTGGAGCACCATGGCTGGTGTCACAGGGGTGCAGGAAGTTGCATGGTACAAGGACACGGCAGGTCTGCGCAGCCAAGCAGGGGGCTTGGGCTCAAGACCCGCGCCGGCGGCGGAGCAGCGGGCGGCAGGCGCCTCCAAAATTGAGTTCTCTCGACAAAAACAAGGGCCCGCAAGCCCAACAGGCGCCACCCTCGGCCTCGCTCACGGCCGCGCACGTCACAGCCCCTCCTCATCCAAGTCCACGTCCATCGAGTCATACGCTGAGTAGGACGGCTGCGCACCGCCGCCGCCGCCGCCCCGGGCCCCGCCGCCGCCCGCCCCGGTCGCCTCCGTCCCCTCCTCCTCCTCTTCCTCCTCCCCCTCGTCCTCCTCCCCATCCTCGTGCTCATCTGTGAGCGCGGCCGAATATGGTGCCGATTGGGATGGCTGCGCTGACGCAGAGTAGGGCGCCGAAGCTGAGGGCGCCGCCAAGGGCTCGCCCGCGGCAGCCGTGAGGCCGCGGCGGGAGGGGTCTGCGTCTGCGGGGTGGGCGTCGTCGTCGGCGCCGGAGGGGCGGGGCTGCTGGTCGCGCCCGACCTGCGGCGGGCGGCCGGGAAAAAGGGGGCAGGAAGGGGTCGGCGGGGGGCTTGAGAAGGTCTCGTTTGGTGGTCGAGTCAGTGTATAATGTTGTGTCATTGTACGAGACAGCAGCCCGGGGCCGGCGGCAGAGCAGTCAAGATGCACAGCGCGTTGCTGTGGCCGCGGGCCGAGGGGTGTGGGCCGGGGTCACGCGCGCGCTGCCTGCTAGGGTGCGCGCATCCCCGGCTCACCGGCACTAGGTGAGGGTACCGCGGGCCGGTGGGCACCTGAATAAGCTCGTCTGCGCGCGAGGCGCGCGGGCACGCACAGCGCGCGCAGCAAGGCGGACGTGTGTAACGGAGGGTCGCAGCGGGGCACGGGCGGCAGCGTCCCAGGCGGCACACCAAACGGGGCGGGGCGCATCCTCAAGGGTGTCTGCACATTTGGTTCCCGCAATTCTCACGCCCGGGTCGCCCCTCTTGCCGCCCCCCCCCCCCCCAAAAACACCCACACACACATGCACACCGCCATGCTGGCACGCGCGACGCACCCGACTTCACCCATCTCAAGAGGTGCAGTTGCTCCTGCGCGCCTGCCGCACCCGCTGGCACCAGCTGACGCACCCATTTGTGCACGGGGCCACTGTACCCAAAGTCGTTGATGCGCAGCGCCGTCGTCATCCTGGCGGCCCGCTGTGCGCAGATGCGGGCTGCAGGCGTGCTGTGGGGCGGCTTGCAGCGCAGACAGCGGGAGGCAGCAGGATCTGCTGAAGCTAACAGATCCGACACATCCTTCTTCGAGAGTTTTGGTGAGTGTTCGAGTATTAGTCTGCAGGGTGCGGAACGCACTCCTCTCAGATCACACGCTTGAAAAAGTTTCTTCAGCACATATGCACACTGCTATAGAGATGCACATGAGGTGATTATGAGCATATGGCAGTCATGTCGAATTCGAAAATGCTTCCCGTGCCGGACAGATTCTCGATGCTGAGCACATCGCAGAACGTGTTCAGAAACAAAGTGCACCATAGTGAGTCTAGTACACATGTACATTAAGCTACAACGTCCTAGCATTCATTCCACACGACTCTGCCTGGTCGGCCTTGCCTAGTTGCTCAGCATCCCACGTCCTGGCGTGGAAGCATCAAGCACAGAACGGAGCTGCTGCAGAGCCCCGCCGTGCAGCTGGCACCCACCTGCGCAAGCAAACAAGCTGCAGTGGCACGCACGTGCCCCGCGCAAAGAGCCGGCAGCTGCAGCGACGAGAGTGGGAGCCATTATCATTGTTGAAGCGCCTTGTGCTGCCAGCCATGAGCGCATTGATACTGCGTCACATAGCGACCGCCCTCACACAACAGCAAAGCCGTGGCGTGGCCAGGCAAGCTGACGGCGATGGGAGCGAGGGTGTTGCACATGGCGGTGGTGACGTGGGCGACGCCAACAATGCCAGCAGCAGCGGTGGCACAGGCGCCGATAAGGACCGGCAGCAACAGCACCCCACCCTCCTCCTTGCCCGCGACGCCTTGATGGCAGACGCGGTGGCCCCCGCAGCGCCAGGGCCCGATACAGGGGCCGGGTTGGACGGGGGGCCGCGCCGCGCCGCCTCTGTTGCGGCCCACGGCGACAGCCGCGGCAGCAACGACACCCCGGAGGGCGGCGCGCCCGCTTCGGGCGCCAGCTGGCCCCTGCTGTCTTGGAGCCGCTGCCGCGTAGCGGCCGCGCAGATAGGGCGGGTGAGTAGGTGGTGTGCAGCAGCTTGCGGCGAGCGTGCATGGGACACTCAGCGGCCGCCTGGGCGCCTGGCGGCACCTCTTGCAACGACGGCGCGCTAGGAAATTGCTTCCCCTGTGCCGCCACACCGAGCCGCTGTTGAGGGCCCTGCCTTGCCGCCCATCACGACAATGCGACTGCGCCTGCGCCCTAGTTACACGGCATGGTGTGATGTGTTGTGAGTTTGATGTGATCCACGCGATGCGCGCGCCCCCGCCCTGCCTGCAACCTCGCAGGGCCTTTCCAGCGGCAGCGGTGGCGGCGGCGGCTTCTGCGCACTGCAATCGGCGCTGATGCTGCAGTGCGAGCACTGGCTTGAGGCCGCGGATCCGAAGCACAGGTATGGGACCAACCTGCGGCCATACTTTGAGTATTGGCTTGCAGAGCTGCAGCTGCAGGAGGATCATCGAGCTGCACAACAGCAGCAGCAGCAGCAGCAGCTGCAGCAGCAGGGGCAGCAGCAGGGGCTGCAGGAGCGGCAGGGGAAGCAGCAGCAGCAACAGCAGCAGCAGCAGCAGCAGCGGCATGGGCAGCAGGGGAAGCAGCAGCAGCAGCGGCAGCAGCAGCAACCCCAGCTGCATGGGCCGCAGCAGTGGCACGGGCAGCAGCAACAGCAGGCGGAGCGGCACGCGCGGCAGCATCATGTGTCTTGGGACGAGGATCAAGGGGAGGAGGCGGCAAGCAGGAGCATGTCGGCTTTGGACGCAGCGGCGGCGGCGGCAATGGCGCCCGCTGCGGTGCCGACCGCGCTCGCCGGCTGGCCGGCAGGGGCGGGCGCGGTGCAGCCGCTGCACCCGACCGCCGACGACTCCCAGCTGTCCAACTCGGGGCGGCTCCTGGCGCGCCGCGCCGCGGCCGCCGCGGCAGCACACGCCGCCGCTGGCGCCCGCGGCGGCGGCGGAGATAGAGGCCTCGCCGTGCTGGTTGAGGGCGGGTCCCCCATAAGCTCTCCCGCCCGGATGCGGCGCTGCCACTCAGCCCCGCGCTTGAAAGACACCGCAGCAGGCCGAAGCGGGGCGGGCCGGCAGCCCGACGCGCCGGCGCCGCCGCCGCCCGACCTCCGCGCCAGCCTGAGCGCGACCGCGGCGGCCCCCAACGGCGCGGCGGCCCGGCGCGGCGCGGCGC